TAAATCAATTCAGTTCTTGTAGTTAAATATTATAGCTTTTGTTCATATGGGTAATTTTACATATATAGCCTATATACACCCGGCTAAACGAGTAATCAACGTACGAAAAATACCCCCCAGGCCCGTGCTGGGAGGTGTCTGGGATTCCCTGAGCACCTGCCCCTTTTCCCATATCGGAAAAAACACCCGGGCAGCCACGCCCTCCCGTTCGAAAATCTGTCCCTCGACAAGTATCAAGTATGTGTTTAAAACCGAGTCTGTGTTTCTTTCCCGCAAACATTTTGCCTCCGACGCACACAGGTCTTGTAAGGCCACCTTTGTCGGTTCCATGTACAGATTGTTTCACCTCCCTCTCAGTCTGTCTCTAGTGTATCTGTCACTGTCAGGTTCATAGTTTTAGTTTCAGTCGCCTCTCTGTCAGTCTGTTTCGCATGCCCTCGTCAGGGTCAGTCTCTGCCATCTCCCACTCAGAACTACAGTCTTTCTCACCTTAGACATGGTGTCCTGAGGCCGGTCCGTGTCAAGAATGTTGAGGTTGCCAATGATGGGCAAGGGCCTGGGCCCTGGTGGGAATTTGTACTGTCCATCATTTTTTGAGGACTTGAAGAGGAGGAAGAGGAAGAACAGTGTGACTAAGGCGAGGATAAACGTCACGGAAGCGCTGTCCGTCACCAGGGTCGTGAGCGCCGACATGTTTAGCTTCCACGATGCAGACCTTCTGCGCGAGTCATTAGCAACCTTCCACATTTAAAGTCTTACACCTCCGCTGCAAACTCGCGTCTGATTGGCTGGTTGCTTTCCAGGGGGCGGGTGCTGAAATAGGTAAAATGATGTAAGCAAAAGGTAGGGCAAGGCTTGGCAATGTTTGAAGTAAGACAAAGGTTACATTCACAAATTCTCGGATTTTAGTAGGTCATAAGTAAGCTTTTTTTTTTTTTTTTTTACTGATGCCGTCTAATAAGATCTGGATCAGGTTCTTGAAAGAGTAGATTGATTATTGAAATATGCTTAAGTGTATCGTAAAATCAACACCGTTTATTCCTTACTGGTGAAAATACTTGCGAATTGCATTACTGGGAGTATGTTGGTGCTCTAATTTTTGTTTATTCTGAGTGCTGACTCCTTAACGATTGGAGGTTAATGATTGGCGATCACCCTGTGCGCGGCGACACTGGGGTAAAGATGAGACCGTGGTTTTGTTTGCTGACTCCTGATGTGTGTGGTGTGAGAAACTCTTCTTTGGACTTGCTAACCTGTGACCGATTGTACGACTGTGTGCCTGTGTCCTAGGAAACTGTATACAGTAAAAAACATTTCTGCAAATATATATTTGAATATGCAATTCAATATATTGAATATGGAAGTATCAACATTAATCGATTTAAGAACTTTCCAGTGGGAATCTTATTCCAAACCCTATTACTGCTAAAAAGTGTTCCCTATGTACTTTCACATTTCATTTTGTTCTTGAATCAGTACTTACGGTAAATTATTTTGTAGAGGTGACTTTGCTTATTTGTTTAAAATGTGACTGAATTGTAGAATATACCCTAATAATGAAATATTCAGATCTGGTGGATGTGCAGACCATGGGAGATGTTCAGCTTCACTTTCATGTTCATCAAACCACTCTGTCACCAGTCTTGCTGTGTGTATTGGTGCATTATCATCCTGACACACAGCACCACCGTCGATACAATATTTGAACCACTGGGTGAACATGGCCCTCCACAATGGTTTGGTACTCCTTGGCAGTGATGCACCCATCTAGAACAAGTAGTGGGCCTAGGGAGTGCCATGATATCACAGCCCAAACCATCACTGATTCACCCCTGTGCTGCATTCTGGGTACGCAAGTCTGGGTTGTAAGCCACTTTGGGGCTTCTCCACACTGTAACTCTGCCAGATGTGGGAAAGACAGTGAAGGCGGATTCATCAGAGAACAGTAAATTTTTCATATTATCCACAGCCCAAGATTTGCGCTGCTGGCACCGTTGAAACTAATTAATTAATGTTTGGCATTGGCACGCATGACCCAAGGCTTGGCTACAGCAGCCCAACCATGAATTCTGACCCTGCGGGGCTGCCAGTGAACAGATTTGGTGGAAACAGGAGAGTCAAGGTGTACATTTAATTCTTCGGTGAGTTGGGCAGCTGTGGTTTTGTATTTTTTGTATACAGTCCAGGTTAGGGCCCAGACATCCCTGTCAGACAGCTTCCTCTTGCATCAACAGTTACTCCTGTTGGATGTGGTCCATTGATCATGGTGGTACAGGTATGCAGACATTACCCTGGATACCGTGGCTCTCTACACCACAAAGACTTGCTGTCCTGGTCACAGATGCGCCAGTGAGACACGCACTGACAATTTGTCCCCTTTTGGACTCTGATATGTCTCTCATTATGTTGTGTGGATTGAATTATTTTATGTACAGCTGTGCTGTTGCTCTGCTAATTCAACCGTCACACTCTGCTCTTACTGAAAGAATGTGCCATCAGGTGGTATTTGTGAAACCTCAAACACTATTTTGGCCCGTGTTTCATTGTCCAACCTTTGTACATAAATAATTGTTTTACAAACCTTATTTAATTTGCTCTACCTGCAATTGAGCCAAGTATGTTCACCCAACAATTTAAAATAATGTACTCCTAGTTATTTATTAAAAGTTAAGTGATTGTTTCAAATGAATGTCTTGCTAGTGAAGCAAATGATTTGCTTTTGCGTTCTGTCTGCTATTGAGAAAATGGTGGATCCTCAGCATACACTTTGCTCCACATGACTCTGGGTGTTGGCAGGTAATGCAGGGCAGCATGAACCATTACTGAGGTGTGTGTCTCATTGCATCCCCAGTAAATGTTATCTAGTAACAAGGATCGCAGGTGAGGAGTAAGATAAAGGTGAAGAAAGATTGAGCCACCGCAGGTTTATGTTTGATAAAAATCAAATCAGGTTCTGCATGTAAGACCCGGAAAAACATATTTGCACGGTCGTGCTGAGCCATCAGTTTCAAAGTCAGCTGCCAAACTTCAAAGGGCAGACAGGTATGATGGAAATGGCTCCTTTTATGATGTTAAATCAGGTCAGTGTTTTATAATGGCAACATATGATTACAAGGTATATTTGTGTAGCATAAACAGCAGCTACTCCTTTCAGGCATCCTTCCCCGATTCATGTGTAGAGGTCACTGTGACTTGGGTAACTGAACTATAGGTTCTCCTTGCTCCATCCTTCTGTTCTGCTCGCAGAAGTGTAACAAAGTGTGCACTGTTAACCCCTGTGAGACTTGCGAGAGGATTGCAGGACCACAGTTCCTTGGAAGCGTCAGTCAGGTATACCTGTTACCATTCCTCTGTCGGATTGCAGTGACCTTCTGGTGCCTCTCCTTGTTTCCATGTGTGCATCATGTGCTTCTCTTTGCAAACTGCCACTTAGCTGCCCAGTGCCCAATGACACCACCTGTCACTGCCCAGGGAGTAGCCAATGAACAGAAGGTTACCTGCACCACTGTAAATGTTACAAAGAGTAGTTAAGAACAGATCTCAAGTTTGTGTCCTAGTACTGCTTTACTTCATATGCGTGTGTCTACGAATATGTAAGTTTTAAATAGACTAATATTGTGTTCGCCTCTGAAAATGAGTCTGTTTTAATTCCAGTTTTGGCTTTATTGATTAAGCAATCATGTATTCATACAGTATTAATATTTTGTTCATAAACCTTCCTTGGTTGAAACACTTGGTTTGTTTTAAAATTTTCCTAATGTTTTGGCGATTTACAGACAAACACTGCAAGATGTCGAGGTTTTTGGATTTTTTCGATTGTATGCATCTATTTTCAAAAAATAATATTTAGAAATAATTCAACAAATGGTTTTGGTTTATGCTTCACTAAAACATTTTAAAGAAAATTGTAAGTCATTTAAAGGATTTTTTTTGGCCGTGCCAGTATAAAACGCAGCGTAATCCGGGGAACTATAAAGAGCAGAGTGATGCACTTTATGTACAGCAGGTGGCGCAAAACGTCCACTTCCTTTTACATTGCGGAGGACTTGCTAAGCTTTCAGCTATGCAAAACATCCTCCGCGGCTCGCATTTCAGGGCGCGCTAAGTGGTGTCCTGGTCGCCCTTAGACACCAACATTGGTCAGTGTGCCACGCGTACATATTCCTAAAACTAAATCATATTTGCTGTTGCTACTACTGCCGCTAAAGCGCGCCATTTGTTACTATTCATTCGTACGCCTGCCCTGATGATTTTAGAGGCGCTTGAAAGCTAAGCTAGTAATTCTTTGAAAACCAGCTTTCTTAAATCACTGGTTGCCAGAGACTGGTCACTGGTCAGCCTTAACCAAACGATTACAACTCAACAGTCCTTACTACCAAGTGGTTTAATATAAATTACGTATGATGTTAGTAAATCGTTAATGAAAGATTTAAAATAAGGTGATAACAACAGCAAAGAACATGCATAAGATATTAAAGGATATTATGCCCTTGGTTTAGCGTGTGCACCGGTTCCGATAACACTATGTTTTAATCTGTATACGGATAGGGTTTTCAGTGTGTCAGCGTTTTAGTTTGTGTTATTAACAGAGCATTTGGCGCTATGTCGAGTGTCTGAAAATTGTAAAATGCATTTCTTGTAAAAAAAAATGACCTTCGTGTTGATGACTTCCTTTGTTTTTTTTTGGTAGAAAAAGACAATAGAATATCCTCAACCTAAAAACAATAGCCAAAATAAGCGCCAGGTATGACAAGAGGTGACCCAATTCCGCTGCAAGTTCACTGCAAAGTCAACACCATTGTTCTCGTAATTGGTAGACACCCCCTACTCCTTGCATGGTCCCCGCAAGTTAAAAAAAAATCAAATAAATAATATCTTCCAGTGACCGCACTATACCACTGGCCAGATGTGTGTGTTTACTTTAAATACGGCTCTGGGCCGCGAGGCACCGCTGAGCGAGCTGGCCAATCAGAGGCGCCGGAGGCGGGGCCGATCTGAAAGCTTGTGGATGGGAAGATGGACCAAAGAAGGCGCATAGCCGAAGGCTGAGGGCGATCTGCGTGTGGCCGCCTTGGGCATCCGCCAGCGCGTGGTCTGGGAGGTGGCAGCGCGTCGACTGGCACGGGGACCGAAGTGGGTTTGTGCTCATCCGCCCATACAGGGGACCTCTTGGGGAGACCGGGGTTGAATCAGGGTGAATTATACAATGGGGAGATGCAGCTTCCACTTTTCCGAAATGTTACCGGGATTTTAATTTGCGCCGGTACTTAATAAATAAGATCAGACTGCACCAGTCATTTCAGTACAGAGAGCATGCAGCCTTTTAGCCATTCCGAAGTTAGACAAATGGGCGCAACGCCGTGAACTGCGTCCAAGGGCATTGCGACTCCCATTCTCTATCTATATTTCATAATAAAGCCTGCGAAGGACGCCCATAATCGCCAGTCACCCAGCTGCCTTGGTACCGGTAATGGCATGGAGCAGCCCCTGACCGACAGCAAAGGCTGATTTTATCACTTTGGGCTGATTCGTTTTTATTCGCTCGTTTCAGTATGTTTTGCTGACTGTTCCCAGAGTCGTCGGATGTTCGCGACCAGGTAATTAATAATAAGGCTAAATGAGAGACCGAAGATACATATCTGTTTTTTGTAATATATTGGTTACGAGCCGATAGATTCGAAGCAAACTATCCGGCTTTTGTAACATGTGTGTCATTAGTACGACGTAATGTAACTGTACGGATACAAAAGGAACGAACATCAAAAGAATTATAGCAACTGAGAATAAGGGCAGCTCTGCATACGTAAAGCGAAGGCGAAGGGCGGGCGAATCAGCGGGATAAGATTATTTTCGCCGGACGGAGTGGGCGCGTTTCACTTGTGTGTGTCAGTCGTGAAACTCAATCATGTTGTGGGGTCGGTAAAATGAGAAGCGGCTGGTTCACGCTTTAACAACAGACAGCAGCACTGAGCTACCCTGACGGCACCCCGACTGCCCGGGCCGTGCGCTGTCAAACACGACAAACACAGATCGCCTACCAACACTACCGCTGTTTATCCATAATAATGAGGACGAGCGGCAGAAGAGCCCTGGCCGGCTGCTGAGGAGGATGGGACGTGCTGGCGGACGGAGCCTCGGACCGCTGTCACTCCAACGCGCAGGTAATGGTTGGTCTGATTTTTACTTCGACGATCAGATAGTTGTCATTTGGTAATGTATGACTGTGGGCACATCGATCGCGTTATGCGCTGCAGAAAGTAGCACACAGTTATAGAAGGACCTGTAATCATGACCGAACTGTGGCAATATAAGGCCCTTTGATCGGACAGTTATGATGTTTTTAATAAAATGTATCTGTTAATTTTATTTGTATAAAATACATGTAAAATGTAACCCTTAAATTACATATAATTTATTTTTTTAAATATGCGCAAACAAAGGGCTATTCTTAAATTACTGGTTATGAATTTACGAGTGTTTATCGTCTCATTTGGATAAGCATTGGCTGTTTCCATTAACCCGATCGTAATACTTTGTCAAAGTTCAATTATATGGCGTGAATGATTATTTCACCTTACAGTAATAATTAGATACGTTTTTAGGTAGGCCTACATTTGGACAGAAAACCCCACGATACTATATTTATATTAATGCACATTGAAACACTACATTAAAAGTGCACATGCCAAACAGACAATAACTAATTATGAAATGCAAATATTTTTGCGTTTTCTTTACAGTATAAACGTAACGCACAGATGCTATTTTCTGCTGGACAATTAGTAGCCTGTCGTCCGCATGTAGCAGGTTGTTGACACACAATTAAACGGACAGACCCGCAATGATTTGCTTCGAAAATTGACAGGGGAGGGAGATACAGGCAAATGGCCAAACGCCTAAGCTTTGTGGAGCTTTCTCGAGCAAGGCAGTTGCCAACTTGCACTAAATAGGAATGCTAATTAAGCTGTTTAAGAGCTTCTTCTTTATTGCCAGATTCCTCTTAAACTTTAGTATAACAGTGACTCATAAGTTATTGCCGCGTGGACAGAAATAAGTACAAACATATTTATAATAACGTTTTGTGTAATAACCATTCATTAAACTCAGATGTTCCTGCAGAGACCAGGTCCTACCTGCATGTCATTATTTAACTTGTCAAAAAAAAAATGCCGACGTTATTATAACCACATATCTTTCACTAAGGTCTTTGTAAGATGTCGGTGGATTAACAAAAAAAACTCTTTAAGGTCCTACATCCTGAATGCTGCAGGTCAAAGCTTCGGGGGCATTTCATGAGCCAAGGCGTGTGATTGCTTCAGAAAATTATACGGTGTTTTGAAATACTTTTGAAATATCAAACTACTGGATGAAACTGCGCAAGAAGTTCGTATGACGGTCACTGCTTAAACGCCCCACGTCTCCTAGGAGGACTGGATGGACTTCAGACAGCTGTAGACAAATCTTAGTCTTGCGTCCCTTGTCTGATCCCCTCTTCTTAAAAGCATAGGAGGCTGGCAGGTCCCGTAAAGAGCAGGCTGCTTGTTAGTTGGTAATTACAGACTCCTTGGTTTAATTTTAGTCTGATTGAATCAAGGCAGTGGCTTTCACTTTTCCACAAGATTTTTGTTGTTGTTGTTGTCGTGTGTGTTTTTTTCTTTCTCTAACATGCCGAATGTGTCTTGAGAGCCCTGGATTCCCGAAGAGGAATGAGACTAACGGTGCAGTGTGTAATCGCAAATACTGAGAGCTCCGTGGGACGGAGGAGCACTGAAAATGCGCAGAGCTTATTATAAAAAGTTCACCTCAGATACTGGGCCAGGGACAGCTAAACCGACATTAAGAGTCAGTCTGATCTGTTCTGTCTTCCGAAGCTGAAAATACGTCGGACGGTGGAACACGCCAGCTCTCACCCTGACTTCATGAGCCTTTTGAATGTTTGTGTATTGTGTTTTTCCACATGGTCTGCTCATTCTGGCTTCCCTGTTAATATCGTGTCCCTGTTTGCCTTTATGAGATTAGCAGCGTGCACACACACACACACACACACACACACACAGAGGCACTCAGAGCTACAGAAAGAACTGCCTGTCCGCGGGTGAATAGCAGAGAACTGTTAGGAAATGCTTATACATGATCATCGCCACAGGGTATAAACCAGATCGTTAGGCACATGGATTCAGACCAATAAAAACATACCTGTAACTTTGAGTGAGTCCTTATTTCTTGGGTCCAAAAAAATAAAGCTTTAGGAGGTATGAAGTATCTAGGCCTGGATTAAAGAAGGGCTGCGTGGTTGGTGGCGCTCTTAGCTCACACCCCAGGGTTGGAGGTTCGAGGCCTGCCTCTGCTGTGTCTGTGTTTTCCTGTGTTGCATGAGTTTCCTTTGGGAACTCCAGTTTCCATTCACGGTCCAAAGGCATGCAGTTAGCCTAATTTGTGCCTCTAAATTGCCCATAGAGTATGGTTGTGTGTGTGTGTGTGTGTGTGTGGACTGGTGCCCTCTCCAGGCTGTATCCCATTCTTGTTCTCTGTCACACCCCCGTGACCCTGACCAGGATTACAATTTAGGAATCTTTAATTCTTGCCCAGGGGGTTCCCCTGCAGGGGCGTGTGGCTGCGGTGCCAATTACTCCATCTGAAAGATGTCTCCCCAATCACTTGCTGATTCAAGTCATATCATTGGCTAATGATAAACTTGTCCCCTCTGTGTGAATTATGGCCGCTGTTATGGCGCCCTCTTTAAAGAAACCCTAGAATCACCCCTATTCCCCTGCTTTGTGCTCTGCGCTGGCTCAGGTGGGCTTTGCACAGCCTCTGTAATCCTGTACTGTACAAGTAACTGGAAGACAAAAGCATGAATTGAATTGCATGTGAATGATAAGCGGAGTGAAGCTATTTGTGCAGCTGTGATCGCGATGGCGTGAGAACCCAGCATTGACTGGCTAGGAAGGCTGTGGGATTGGCGCCCACTTGTCCCTCCAGTTCATCCGTCTTCCTGCTGAGCACTTATTTTCTCTCATGTCTAAGTGTTGGAAACGGGAGTAGATAACAGATACGGCTCAGAATGTTGTATAACACGCTTTCAATGCAGAGAGAGTTTTGTGTCCAGCTGGCCAAGAGAATGTGTCGGTCTTCCATTCAGCACTCCCAGAATGCACTGCAGGCAAGAAGTGCTATGACAGATCATGGAAAACTATGCATTGAAGATGACGGGTAGCATTGCCCATTATGGGTGCAGCCTGGGGCCGTCAGACATGAGGCGTACAGCCGAGAGTGGCCCTGCCATTATTTGTGTTGGTGCACATTGTTGTACATTCGCCAGAGGTCCTGAAATCCAGGGTCTAGCTGCTATATTCTGGAAAGAGCCGTATTCCAGGGGCAGACTGCTGTCGGACTGAGATGGATTTCTTTCAGCATAATTGATCCTCGAGGAAAGTTGAGATTAACTTTGCCAGAGGAGAGGGAGAAGAAATAAAGAGAAAGAAATGAAAGAAAGAAAGAAATCAATGACTTAACTAAAGGAATGCATGAATTATTAATGAGGAGCGTGTAATGCAATCCCAAGCATACGCTCTCCTGTGAGCTTGTGCGTCCTCCGAGGAGGGGCGTGGAGAACCGCCGTGGCGTGAGGCGCGGTGATGCCGGCACGCGCGGCAGTGCCGTGGGCGGGGCCTGCGGAGAAAGGTGGCGGGCAGGGCGGCGGCCACAGTGACTGGGGGACAGGAGTCTGTTTGCGAGGGTGGGGGACACAGTGACTGGGGGACGGGAGTCTGTTTGCGAGGGTAGGGGACACAGGTGAGCCCTGTAAGCCGCCTTTGTGTGCTTCCTGGCAGCTGACCTACGCCGCGAGACCCAAGCAGGGGGCATGCACACAGGCGGGGGGCAGGCATAGAGGTGGCGGACATGCACACAGGCGGGGGCGTGCACACGGGTGGCAGACGTGCATATAGGTGGCAGACGTGTACAAGGGTGGGGGGCGTGCACATGGGCGATGGGTGGGCACACAGGCAGGGGGCGTGTGCACAAGCGAGGGGGGTGCCACTTTCAAAAAATCTCCAGGTTTTAGAATAACAAACTTGTGTGTATCTCACGGTTCCGGGCTGTGGGGGGGGGGGGGGGGGCTTCCCCTCTCAATGATGCCCTTATGCCTGTTCAGGTCTCTCATTCTCCGTCTGCATCTCCAGCTAACGGTCGCATGCAATGCAAGCCGGCGGCCGAGACGAGCTCCACCCGGTGCATTTTCCAGCAGAACCCCGTTGATTCGTTTTATTTATTCACGTTATTTCTAGGTATGGCTTTAAATGCACGCGAATTGCTTTCAGGAATGGCTGCTCCTTTCTGCTAGCGCTGTTCAAGCAGGACTGCAGCATTGACTGAATCTCAAAGCCCGAATCTCTCTGTTATCACTCCAAAAGGCACCTAGCAGTTGATTGGATGTTGCTGAATTCCTACCTTCAGAAGTTCTTTTAGTTCTGTTCTTAGACTTCAGAGTGTGTGTGATTTGGGATGTTGTGGAGCAGCTGGGTGTGTCAGCCTCTCTGCCTTTGTGTCCCGCTTTGCTGAGGTGGTTCCTGCTTCTGTCACATCACTGTCCTGCTGCCGTTTGCCTGTATGTTATTGTGCTGGCCACCTGGTCCGTGTCGTCGCGTCGAACTGGGAGATGTTATTTTTAACTCCACGATGGCGCCGTTGCGGTGTATGTGTGACTGAGGCTGTTCCTTGGGTTGAATGATTCAGATGCGATTGTGTGTTTAGTGGGACTTTGCTCGCATTGCCATTTTCAGCTCAGTGTGTTTTGTTGCTCAACACAGGAGCGGACTGTTCAAACCATGTGGCTCCTGGGGACTGAGAGCGAGGCAGAGATTCCCTTTGATGACTTCAGTGTCTTCAGCAACGGAGAAAAATCACCCTAGTGCCACGACGTACTCCCCACCCCCCCCCGCCTGCGAAGCCGGGGACAGTGACGCCATCAGCTGAAAGGCACTCTCAGCAGGACCATGCGTCACCAGTCATTGAACACCATCTCTGGGTCCTCCTCATAGACCACACCCCCACGTATAAAAGACCGCACCCCCTGTGAGGCCACGCCCAGTGGGTGCTGCGAGGGTCACCCCCATGCAGGCGCGCAAGAAATACGTGCTGCTAACTGCATGTGCTTGCTGCTGGTTGCTGCTCTTCTACTGGGGCGGGTTGCAGGGCCGTCTGCTGAGGCTGCTGGGGAGGCACCGGGGCGACGAGGGCCGGCCCTGGCCCAATTGGGTCGACCGGGACCAGCTGCTGGGCTATGCCGACCCCGATGAGCTGCAAGGATGCGAGTGGGCGGGCGAGTCGCCACGGCGATGGAGGCGGAGCTGGTCCAGCATCTACAAGGACGTCCACTGTCGCATGGAAACCTGCTTCGACTTTGCACGGTGCCACGGCCGCGATGGCTTCCGGGTGTACGTGTACCCCTCCGAGAGGAGTGAGCGGGTGTCAGAGAGCTACCGCAAGATCCTGACCTCCATCACGGAGTCGCGCTACTACACGGGCGATCCGCGTGAGGCCTGCCTCTTTGTGCTGGGCATCGACACACTGGACCGTGACCAGCTCTCGGCGCAGTACGTGCCTGACGTAGACGAGCGGATCCGCGGCTACCCGCTGTGGAACGACGGCCGCAACCATCTCATCTTCAACCTGTATTCAGGCACCTGGCCCAACTACACGGAGGAGCTGGGTTTTCGTGTGGGCCAGGCTATGCTGGCCAAGGCCAGCCTGAACGTGGAGCATTTCCGGCCTGGGTTTGACGTGTCCATCCCACTCTTCTCCAAAGACCACCCCCAGAAGGGTGGCGAGCGCGGCTGGCTGGTGCGTAACACGGTTCCCCCGAGGCGCAAGTACCTGCTGATGTTCAAAGGGAAGCGCTACCTGACCGGCATCGGCTCGGACACGCGCAATGCTCTCCATCACATCCACAACGGCAAGGACATCGTCTCCCTCACCACCTGTCGCCATGGCAAGGACTGGGAGAAACACAAAGATGCCCGCTGTGACCACGACAACCTGGAGTATGAGAAGTAAGGCTGCCTTATAATTGGCCTCGTGGCACCCGTGTATTCATGTTTCTGTGCATGCGTGTTTCTGCACATGCGTGTTTCTGCCACCCATGTCTTGCAAGACAGATTTCATGTGGGAAATGTGTTTGTAAATCCCCAGATAACCTTGTTGAAAAGGGTGGAATATAAAAACAACTAATTAGAATTAATTAAACTAACTTCGATGTGTGTATATTTTTATCTGTAATGCTTCTTGTGGCTGATTTAATTTTAACTTCACTGTAACGGTTATAGGATTTGCAGGTTCTGTGGCTCACCTCACATGTCCAGGGCTGAGAGATCCAGTCCTGTCCTCTGTCTCTAGCTCAGTCCAACTTTTTTATTTAATGCAGTTCCAAATGCAGGTTGCCCAAAGTGTAAGACAAAGATTGTTTGTTGGGTGTCCTGTGAGGGACTAGCATCCCATTCTGGGTGTCCCCTGCCCTGTGCCCTGCGATGAACTGGCATCCCGTCCAGGGTGTCCCCTGCCCTGTGCCCTGCGATGAACTGGCATCCCGTCCAGGGTGTCCCCTGCCCTGTGCCCTGCGATGGACTGGCATCCCGTCCAGGGTGTCCCCTGCCCTGTGCCCTGCGATGGACTGGCATCCAGTCCAGGGTGTCCCCTGCCCTGTGCCCTGTGAGGGACTGGCATCCCGTCCAGGGTGTCCCCTGCCCTGTGCCCTGTGAGGGACTGGCATCCCATTCAGGGTGTGCCCTGCCTCGTTTCTTGGCTCTATAACCGCGGTGAGCATTTCGAGGGTAAGCAGTTGGAAGATGGATGACTGTACGAATTTTTGTAATTTGCTTCAGTGTGCGGTTACATTTCTGCATTAATTTAAAACTTCCTGACTTAGTTATGAGTGAGTGAGGGTGCTGGTGCTTCGGGCAGCGTGTAATGAGTGCGGCTGGCAGTGGCCTGGGACAGTAGCAGAAACACCAGAAAGGACAGTTTGTTGGTGCTTCCACAGCTGATGGCTGGGGGGCTCTGTGCTCGCTTCTATGGGGGGGGGGGGAGTGTGAAAGCAATGAAAAGAGAAAATGAGGTCAAGAAGGATTAAGAGATTGGACATGCTTGGGAGAAAGGAGGGAGCTCCAGTTTGCTCTGAGGAGGGGGGTGGCAGGGGTACAGCGAGTGGCGAGAGCGTGAGAGAGAGGCTCTGGTGTTTCTGTGTGAGCAGAGCCTGGGGGCTCGTAGCAATAACAGGAGCGATACCTCCAGCTTGTTTGCTTTGGGCTCATGTTCCTGCAGCTGGGGTCTCGCTGGATGTTGTATGAAAGAGACCCTTTATTCCCTACATCTCTCACCCAAATCTGGCACTCCACCCATACCTCCACCAGCCCTCAAGAACCTTTACTTCACCCATACCTCCACCAGCCCTCAAGAACCTTTACTCCACCCATACCTCCACCAGCCCTCAAGAACCTTTACTCCACCCATACCTCCACCAGCTGCAATGTGTGATCTCTGGTAGGTCGAGAGAAAACCACAGGAATAAAGCCTAAGCCCATTTTCAGGCTGTAGTGATTGCACATGTAACGCACGCCTGTGCTCTTCCACACAAAGTGGGTCAAGGGGATATGGGTACCAATCCCCCACCCTCAGCCTTGCCCCCCCCCCACCAGGAGAAGCACACTTGGGCAAAGGCTGAGCCTGGCTCTGATAGGGTGGTCCCAGGGTAATGACCGTGGGCATCTGGTGCCCCTGTAGATTTACGTGGAGTCCCCAGGAGCTCCTAACCTTGTATTTGGGGGCGGGAGGCACTACAGCTGGGCTCAGCAAATACCAGGCAGAGAGCCAATTATCATTTGAAGAAATAAAACAACGCCTCATGAGGTTAGTTCATGCATTAAAATCACTTGAATACTGCCATAGCATGCATGTGTCTGTGCTGCGTTTCTGTGCTGCATGAGTCTGTGCTGACCTGGACTGTCAGTCATCTGGGGGGTGGGGGTGGGTAGTGGTTGCATTAATGCCGTGGCGGTGACTGTGCCATGTGGAAGGCAACCTCGCATCACCTCCCATTACTCATCAGCCCCAGAGCATTCTGGGAGAGAGGGGCGGAGCCGATGGGGGGG